GTTTTAAATTACTATATCTGAAGCAAACATATTTTTCATGATGTAAATCTCAATCAAAAATAGATTAACAATAATTTGATATGCATTTTGGGTCATAAATGCTTAATACAAGGGTCTTGCATATCACACCACACTTTGTTCCCCTCCCTTCACATGGAGAAGACTCCAAAAGTTTAAAAAATTATTTTATTTTATCACATGCGAAGGTAGAAATTACAAACTCAATTATTTTATTCATTTTTTGAAAATAAAAAAAAATATTAATAGAAGAATATTACAAACTCAATTGTTTGTGCACCACTGGAATTAGCCATTTGGTGAGCGAAAAAGATTTTCCAACTGCAGGAGCAAGCTGTCCATTTATTGCCCAAGTAAAACTCAATGTAGAGTAAACTTGTACGATCAAAAGTTTGGAGATGTAACCTAACTTATATGCTAATATCAATAAAAAAAATTCAGAACTTAATGAAATGATTTCATCTTTTTTGTCTTCCAACCCCCTAAACTCTTTTGATTATGTATTATTGACCTCAACAACTTATACATGATTTTATATTTCTCTCTCTTTAAAACTCATCTCTCTCACATCATCGTCTCTCTCTCAAAACTCTATCTCTCTCTCAAAACTCCATCTCTTTTCCTATTACTCAAACTTCATCTCTCTTTAAAACCCAAACTCCATCTCTCTTTCTAAAACTCCATCTTTCTTTCACACACATAAGGAGGTGTGCTCATGTTCATGCTCAAGCTAAACCCCTTGGTTGGTAAACTCATCGAGAAGCGAAGAGGGAGAGATGTAGTTTTAGAGAGAGATGGAGTTTGAATAGAGTGTCATTTTAGTGTCTGTTTGGGTAAAAAATTTATGACCAAAAGGATTCAAGGAGTTGTAAAATAAAAAATATGGAGACCTTTTACTTATAAGTAATATTTTATTTTTTTTGGATCTCATGAGATATGGAAGTTAAAAATAAAAAATAAAGAGATATTTTTACAAAAATTTATCTTCTAACTACTAGACCTAATTTACCACTTTTGATTACTCCATCTTTTACGTCTCTATCACATCTTTTTGATGGGGATAGAGAAATAAAGACATATAGAGATGGGGAGAGAGAAATGGGAAAGCTTTTTACGTTCCCTTACAACATGAAAGTTCTATGTTCCTTTTTATCCAACCGTCCATTTTTTAATGGAGGGCTAAGATTGCCCCCAATCACATCTCTACACTGTTTTATTTTTAAGTTTTTTTTTTACAAATTGTTTTGACACCAAATTTTGGACGCCCATTCTTATATTAAACTCACACTAACGAAAAATATAAAAAATATATTTTCAATAAAATAAAATAATCAAAATACCCTTGAAAGTTCTAAAGAGTATTTTGGTCATTATTTTTTATCAAAAAATTATTATTATTATTTTTTTATAGGTGTGCCCTAATGAGAAGATGACACGTATCAAATTTCATATTAAAAAAAATTGTATTAAAAAAACTAAAAATAAAATACTTTGAGATGCCAGATCTAAGGTCAAACGATGAGTGGCTCTCTTGATAAAAAATTGAACGCTCGATGGTATAGGGGGAATATGGAACTTCTACATTGTAGGGAGAATATAAAAAACTTTCCCGAAAGATATAAAGACATATAAATAAAGGTAAGATAGATGCATCTTTTTAGTTTTTATTTGGACAAAAAACGAGCCATCAAAAGGTATAAATTGGGTATGATTTTTTAAAAATCTAAAATCAGTTATGTGTACACATAGCATATACACACATATTTTCCCTAAACAAAAAAGATCTCTTAAGTATTCTACTCCGATATATACTATGCTCCCGTTGGAGCATATTATATGTACTCTTGAATGTGATATTTCCCCTATACAAAAACATCTCCTTCTGGTCCAATATATACTATGCTTCAAAGGGAGCATAGCATATGCCCTTGAATGTTTGGTTCGGGTAATCTTTTGCCGAGGGCAAAACCGTCTTTAATAGAAAAATCTGGGCTAACTTTGGTCTTTTCCGCCCCGAAATGATCCTTTTAAAGGACGGCAGGGGTACTTTTGACATTTACCACATTTTGACGGTCTTAGACTCCGTTAATTATTCAACTGTTTCCATTTGAGCTTTTAAAAAAAGGCAACACGTTCCCTTAGCCGTTTCCATTGCCGTTTCGTTGTTACTTTTTCCCCTGAAATAGTTGACTGAAATACCCTCTATCTTTTGCAATAACTTCATGTGCACCCATCCTTTTCAATGAGACCCCGATATCTGCATACTAGAAAATGACAATTTAACCCCTGATTGGGAATGCCAAAGCTTTAAAATCTGAATTTAATGAAAAAGAAAAGAGTAAAACGTTTTATAGTTACTTATATACGATGGCTTAAAGTGATGGTAATCTCTTTATATAAAACATAAAAAATGTGGTTTGTAAAGAGCCTTGGCTCTAAACAATCAAATTAGAGCCTACCTTCAAATAGTATCGAGAAATATAGTTTCAATATTAAAAATCTTTGTGATAGCCTTAAAGTATATTTTCATATTTATTTAGAAAGTTTAAAGTTTAAAAAATAATGTAAATCGATATATCTATGAAAACTTGAAAATCTTGAAAATTGACAGTCCAAAACTGTGTTACAAAATACACTATTTCCAAAACTTGCAATCCATTTTTTTTTCATGTCCATGCATCTTGATGTCGAGATGATCAATTTGAAGATATTTGGGCATCTAAATAACATCTTCTAAGGAAATTTTTGTGGTAGGCTAAAATTTGATTGTTTATAGCCTCGGCTCTATATAAACTTTTCCCAAACATAAATAGTTTCGTCGCATATAGTTGGAATTATAGTTAGAATCACAGAAAAAAGCAAGAGGTAAGTCCAAAATGACGTGGTTGAAAGTAGTTCGAAAATAAATGAGGACTTATGGTCCCACTGAGGATGTGACTTTTAATAGAGCAGAATGGAGAATCAGGGTTCATGTAGCCAATCCCAATTAATCGGAAAAATGTTAAAATTTAGGGCGCACCTTAAAAATTTCACTAGAAGAGGTTGTTTTGATGCCCAAATATCCTCAAACTGATCATCTCAACGTAAAGATGAATGACATGAGAAAAAAATAGATTTCAAGTTTTGAAAATAGTGCATCTTGTAATGTATTTTTGGACCATCAATTTTCAACATTGTCAAGTTTTCATAGGTCTGTTCGATCTACACTATTTGTGAAGCTTTAAATTTTATAATTAGAGATGAAAATATATTTAAGGCTATCACAAAGATTTTTAGTATTGAAACTACATTTCTCGATACTATTTGAAAGTGTGATTTTATTTTGATTGTTTGGAGCCGTGACTCTGTACAAACCATAGGCACAAGATTCTTGATTGCAATTAGAACCTTAAGGGAAGAGAGACACAGAGATTTACAAGAAATTCAACACCAATGGTAATAAATATCAAAGGATTAGCAGGTGTCCTGGAATTCTTATACTCATTGTTTAAAAAGTTGGACTCAAGCTCTGTCTTGCCACGTGCCACATGCTTGAGCCAAATCCCCTTGTCCCAACATGGGCGAGTCCCAGCCAGTCCAGACAATTTTTAATATAGAAAAATTATAAAATATACAAAATATGGGATGCAAGCAATATTTAGGGTTTTTGTTGGGAAGCGCATGGCTTCTGACTCGAGCGAGTCTTGAATCAGCCTACTATTTTTGCAACCCTATTTGCAGCGCAAGACTATACCAGCTCGGTTTGATGTATATGTTGGCTTGAGAAAATATAAGAAAAAAAGAAGAAGAGAAGGACTCAAGTTAACCAATCTGACAAGTCGGTTTGATCCGAAGTACATGGCTTACTTGATTTATGGAGCTGCTTTGATCTATATGTTAGCTTGAGAAAATATAAGAAAAAAGAAGAAGAGAAAAACTCAAGTTGACCAATCTGACAAGTCGGTTTGATCCGAAGTACATGACTTAACTTGATTTATGGGTTCGGTCCTATCTTTATGACTATAACTGAAACTAGTTTTATATATATACAGATCATAAGCACCAACTATTGATCTCGTATTAATACAAAAACCAAAATGCCATATTACACCCGAAAAATATAAGAAAATATATATATTAATACTATTTATTTTTGATACAAGAAGGTCACAATTATTATTGACTATTAAATTTAAAATCCGGAGGTTGATGAGTTATCTTTGTTTATTAGACAAATTTTTTTGAATGTTGTTTCATATTTTTATCTATTAGATTTCACATTTAATGGTCAAAAGTGACTGTGACCTTCATGTGCTAAAAATAAATGGTATCATTGTATATAATCCCAAAATATAAAAGACGCGGTTAACATGTGGCTAGCCTGCATATTGTAGAAACGTGGGCTTAAAAATAAATATATTTTTTAAATATAATTTGACCTTAATTTTTAGAGAATATACAATCTTTAACATGGAGATCATGAATATGAAAAAAAAAAAATTGAAATTTAGAAATAATAATTATATTAATAAAATATTTGGACCGTTAGTTACATTTGTTTTTAGATGGATCACCTATTTGCATCCATCGTTAAGGTTGATGCTTTATACATCTGTTGTATATTGTAGAAATTCAGTTCCTCCTGCATGAAACAATTTGTTCAAATCTTGAAATCCATTTTTTTCACATGTCTATGCATATTGATGTCAAGACAATAAATTTGAGGATATTTGGATATCAAAACAACTTATTCCAGTGAAATTTTTGTGGTGCATTCTAATTTGATTGTTTTGAGCCTCCGCGATTTATAAACTTTTTTTAATATATCCCCACAAGGAAAAGTATGTGTCTCAAGGGCATGATGGCCTAATTCACAAATAACAAAGGGCATTTTTGGCAACTAAGCAAAAAGAACGAAAAAATTGGGCGTCCTTGTCATATTATGAAACGATCGGGGCCTAAAACTTTTATCACGGGAACAAGACTGTGCCCCTCGCTCTCTCTCTTCTCTCTCTCTCTAAGTTTCCTTTTTTGTGACCCCCGCTCCTTGCAATCTCCGACCCATTCGTTTATTAGGGTTCATCTCTCTCTCTCTCTCTCTCTCTCTCTCTCTGTGTCTTGCTTTTGCAGAGATTTACCCCTCCATTAATGGAGAATTGCGGCTTCCTCAACTGCGAAAAGCTGGATAGAATGGCGAACTGGGTGGGAACAAGCGTGGCCTCTGCTTTCTTCGCCTCTCTAGAGAGATGTTCCTGCATAACCCTCAACACAACGGACATGGAGGAAGACGAGGAAGAGGCAAAAGATCGCCCCCTCATGTTAACCAAACCAGTGGTTCATGATGTTCCAGAGAAGGCTTCTAATGGAGTCGACCCAAGTCCAGTTTGAGGCCTTTCTCTTTCCTCTTTCATAATTTTAGAGAGATGAATGATCATGTGTAATACGTTTTGTTGGGTGCGTTTTTTTTTTTGCGTTTCTAATGGAGATTTGCTGTGTGATATGATACGGGAACTCGTGATATGGTAAACTTTGTAGAAATTCATGGTTGGATCTTGAAATTGAATGGATCTTTAATGGTTTCTATCATTTTTTTTTGGTTGGGGTTTCTCTGGTTCCTTTAATGGTGGCTCTTCTTTTGGTTCTCTGGTTCTGAGAGAGTAATGATCCTCTGGTGTTTGATGGGTTGTTTTTCGCTCTGTCTCTCTCTCTCTTCTTGGGGTGAGATCTGTGTTTCTTTTTCTTTGTTCTCGTATTTATTGAATAATTTTTCTTGGTTTTCCTTATTGCTGAACCCTGAATCCAGGAGTCGTGTTTTTTTATGGATTTATATTCTTTTCGATGGCAAACATTCATGGGTTTCTCTCTCTACTTTGCACAAAAATGGAATTGCAATTGTGTATGAGGAAAATAACATATAGTTTTCCTTTTTTTTGGGTAGTTTTCTTTTTTTTTGGTTCTCTGTTGGTTTCCCCTCTCACTGAGAAATCATGGCTTTATTGCTTGTGTATTTCGTTAGTTTATTTCCGTTCTTATTTTATTGTTGTGATTTCTTCAGTCGTTTTTTTCTCTTATTTGATGGATTCTTTCTTTCTTTTTTTCCTTATTTTTATTATTTGTTGAGAAATCGTCATCGCTTTGCCATTGTCGGTTTCTCCTGTTTTTTTCGACGTAATTCTGTGGATACTTAAAATACTTTTTAGGGATTCGCTCTCTTCTTCTTCTTCTTATCTCTCTCTCTCCCCCCTTTGTGATATTTCTCCTTGTTACAGGTGATGAATTCTTTCATTGGTTTGAATTTTCAAATGTCAAATTGGACTGAATTCATCGCAAAATTCACTTCAACGGCCTTGAAAGCTGGTTAAAAGATGGGGAATTTTTTTTACTGATACTTGTATCAAGGAAGAGAAATTCCATCTGTAAAAAAGGCTGAAATTATGGATTTCCAACTACATTTTCCTTGCAAATTTAGTTTTTACCATGCAACATCAAGATCATCTTGAAAAATAAACTAATTCATTTAAGTTTTTTTCTCCTTCGAAAGTGGGCTTTTACGGTATATGACCTTTAATATAGGTGTACTGGGATTTATGTATCTGTACTGGGATTTATGTATACGACCTCAATTTGGAAAATAACTCTTATGAGGAAGACTTTTCTCCCAAGAACAATGTGGTTAAGGGCCTCAATTTGGAAAATACTCTTATGCAGACTTTGTCTCAAAGACAATGTGGTTAAGGGTCAAAGCTTTTCAATGGACAATGTGGTTAGGGTCAAAGCTTTTCTCCGACTATTGGAGATTGGTTATACGAATCCTGGTCGGTTTTGCTCGCAAAAATTTTCATGCTTAATACAATTCATCTCTTTTGGATGAGTTAAGGAAAAATATATGAATCCTGGTCGACCATTTGCTTGCAAAAATTTTCATGCTTAATACACTCCATGTCCTTTGGATGGGTTAAGGAAAAATTTTAAGTCCCTTATCCTTCTTAGACCAACTCCTGTTGATAGTTACATTCTTAGATTTAGTTTTGAAACCTCGCAATAAAAGTACTAATTACTCAATCGTAAAAAAGTTACAATCTCTTCTCCCCCTTTCTTTAGAGAATGCAAAGATGTATGCGTTAAAGTCTAATATTAAGATTGGTACATCACATATGTATGTCTATGAAACTTAAATTTTTATGAATATTTTTATTTCTCTTTTTTCAAAATTTTAAAGGGAAATTTATCAACAAAGACCTGCTTAACATTTCGCTCATTTTCGACTATTCCAATTGATGTAATTTTTTAAATTGATTCAAAACATAAATGAAATGACAAAATAGCTCATGCCTTAGGCATATTTTGATAAATTTATCTCGAAGAATTTAAACATAAATGAAATGACAAAATAGTTCATGCCTTAGGCATATTTTGATAAATTTATCTCGAATAATTTTTTAGTCCTATCAGCATTATTGGTGCAGCTATCGTGAGTGGTTTGGTCCGGTCAAAATCAATCAAACTATTGGTTGAAGGTAAAAGTTTATATAGAACTGATACTCTAAACAATCAAATTAGAGCCCTCCTCAAAAATTTCACTAGAAAAAGTTGTTTTGATGGCTAAATATCCTCAAATTGATTATCTCGGACATCAAGATGCATGGACATGAGAAAAAAATGGATTTCAAGTTTTGGAAATAATGCATCTTGTAATGCATTGTTGGACTGACAATTTTCAAGTTTTTATAAATTTGCTCGATCTACACTATTTTTTGAGCTTTAATTTTTATAATTAAAGATGAAAATATATTTTAAGGCTATCACAAAGATTGTCAGTATTAAAATCACATTTCTTGATACTATTTGAAGGTGCGCTCTACTGTGATTGTTTAGAGCCTTGACTTTGTACAAACTTCACCATTGGTTAATCAGTTGGATTAGATTTTAGAAAAAAGAAAAAAAATCGATATAGTAATAGTTTTTCCTTCTCCGTTGCTATTTTATCAAACTTCATTTAGTTGGTTGAATCGGTAAAAAATAACAGATCCGCCTAACCAAAACCGGTCAGACATTAATTTTTGATTAATTTTCGATCAAATCCAATTTTTGCCTTGGACCATATTAACCAAGGTACCAATTTGCAATCCAATTTGTCGAACCACCCGTTTAGTTGGTCTTGATAATTATGGTCTTTGCCACTATAAAAGCAATAAAAAATTGTTTATTTTGTAATTAGCAATTTATTTTCCTTTATGGAGGAGATTGTTGGTTTGGGATACCTGATATTATTCTACACGTTCGGGTTTTATTTGCGATTCCTTTCTTAGTTTGAGATATCAAAGGGAACTTTGATCGAGAAAAAAGTAATTTGTTTTGTTTTTCTTGGTTCCCCTTGCTAAATTTCCAAATTCTATAAAGAAATTATTCTTTAGAGAGACACATTTGATATGAGGAGAGGTCGATTGATTCTTTTGAGAGTTCCCCTTGGAAAATTTCAAATTCTAGAGAAAGAGATTTTATTTTATTCTTAATAACGATTTCATTGGACCCAAAGGATCACCATTGGATTTGGATCCAAATCTCAAGATGAGATTGGAATCTTACCGGCTAACTTCCTTGCCACCAAGATGCCGTGACCAATCCCTTTCCAAACCTTATGATGCAAGAAAATGACAATGGATCGAGCCCTCAATCTCAGATATAAGAGAGAGAAAGAGAGAGAAAAGGGGGTAAGCATCATTTACTGCTTTAATGGTTGGGTTCATGCAATGAATTGTAGGCACAACTAATAATAGACCAACGCTGGCCTAAGGCTGGACTAGAACAAAACAAATAAAATTTATAGAGAGAGAGATGATCAATGAGGTACGCAGAATAGACCACAAGAAAACAAATCTATAATAACTTGAATAAAATTGTGTGTGTGTGTGAGAGAGAGAGGGAACTAATCAATGAGGTAAGCTGAATAGAATACAAGAAAACAAGCAGATCTATAGCTTCAAAAATTTCTAGCCTATGTAAAAATGAGGGGAAAGGTTTACGGAGAGACAGAGAGAGCTACTCAATGAGGTAAGCTGAAATGACTACAAGAAAACAAGCAGATCTATAGCTTCTATATTTTTTGGCCTATGTAAAAATGAGGGGAAAGGTTTAGCCACATTCAACTTCAGAGATTTCATATTTTTTGGCCTATAAAAATGAGGGGAAAGGTTTAGCCACATTCAACTCCAGAGATTTCATATAATTCATTTCATACCCGGATTGAAATGCTAGAAAATCAGAGAGAAAAGGAGGAAAGACCCTTGATATTTGGTTGAAACTTGAAACAAATGGCCCACCAAGTTTAATGACAGACTGACAGTTGAGAGAGAGAGAGAGAGGCATCATTTGAATTTTAACCATCTTAGAAATAACAGCCAGTTTTGTGCGTATGGAGAGAGAGAGAGAGAGAGAGAGAGAGAGAGAGAGATCGTTGGACTACTACCAAACGTACGAAAGACGGACAGTCGATCGAGGCTCAGTACGAAACTAACCGAAAACGTAGAATACTCACCATAACAACTACACGTACTAA